TGACCCGTCACTCCTGAACGCGGGGTTACAGCCTGAGCTACCTGACCTGTTATTTTCTGCTTTTCAACAATTTTTTGGCAATGCTAGGAATTGAATCTAGGGACCCATGCCTTCCAGCCAAGTGTTCTGCATCTGAGCCCTAGTCCTTTGCTTTTAAACTTTTTAAGATTTTATTTTTACACCAGGCACATGCTTTTGGATCTCTGAGTTAGAGGCTAGCCTGGTCTATGTTGAGTTCTAATGCATCCGTGGCTTTGTAGAGAGACCCTGTCAGAACAAAACTAAACAAGCACAAAAAACAACAAAAAGGACTGGTTTTTAAAATTTGGTGGGAGGGGGTTCTTGGGTTTGGTGGTGGTGGTTTTTTGAGACAGGGTTTTTCTGTTGCTTTAGAGCTTGTCCTGGAACTAGCTTCATAGACCAGGCTGGCCTTGAACTCACAGATATCACCTGTCTCTGCCTCCCAAGTATTGGGATTAAAGGCGGCATCACCACTGACCTTTTTTGTTTGCTTGCTTGTTTGCTTTTAAGACAGTTTCTCTGAGGCAGTCCTGGAACTTGCTCTGTAGACCAGGATGGCCTCGACCTTTGCATCCCAAATGCTGGAATTAAAGGCATGCACCACCACTGCCAGGCTTGGGATTTTATTTTTAATTATGTATATATGTAGGTCTGTGTTTCTGCACATAAGTACAGTTCGCAGAATTTCTAGAAGGGGGTGTTGGATCCTCTGGAGCTGGAGTTAGGTGGTTGTGGGAGCCTGGCATGGGTGCTGGTCTAGAAGAGCAGGAAGTGTTCTGACCACTGGGGCATCTCTCCATCCTAGTTTTCAACAATTTAAATAAGGCTTTGTTACCTTTGATTTCTAAATTGATGAGATTTGTTCTTAGCATAATCTTTTGCTTTTTTGACACAGGGTTTCTTTTTTGTATAGTCCTGACTGTCTTGGTCACTCTGGTAGACCAGGCTGGCCTCGAACTCGGAGATCTGACTGCTTCTGGCTCTGCCTCCTGAGTGCTGGGACTAAAGGCATGTGCCACCCAGCTGTTCACAACATAGTTTTAAAAGTTACAAATATAGAAGCCGTGAGTGTCCCCCTTTTTATGGGCACAAAATTACAAAAAAAAAACAGTAATTCAGACTCCTTTACTGCCTTTTCATTGCTTACGTAAGTTTTAGTATAAGAACATAAACTTATTCGTTCACTTTATTATCTGCCTGTAGTGTTAGATGTGAAGCAAACAACTGTCTATCTATAGTAGGCCTATTTTAAATTTTTTATTACAAATCCAGAGTGTCTAAGTTCAGAGCTGTTTGCAACTGCAATACAAAGAATGCCCAGATTGGGGTGCTTGTCATTAAATTATACTGTTGAGTTACATGAGTTTAAGATCCATCTCCCTTCCTCCCTCCATAGCTCCTAGAGTGTGAGTATTGGATATTTGTAATTCAATTGCATTTTGGGAGGTGCATGTTATGTTTCTGTTTTTTTTGGAGGGGGCAGGAATGT